TCCTTGGTTTTGTAACTCTTTTCTACCGATAGCAAAATGCATAAACTTTTTAAGATAAAGAAAAACATTGGGCAAAATAAAACTTACATTTATTTTTAAAGAGACTTAAAATGTAATTTATTTTATTTATAAGACCAAAAAAATATTAAATCTTATACTTTATATCATAATTAAATGAGGAGAGAGAAAAAAAATTATATTATAGAGATTATATATATAATTTTTATATCAAAGCCTTTGTTTAAAAACAAAATTACTCATTTTTAAGTCTTATTGAATTGAATTTAAAATAAAAATGTATAATATTTGCCTAAATTTATTTATTTGTTGACTAAATAGATTTCATAATTGTTTTTAAATAATAATAAATTTAGATTTTCTTGTTTGAACATGCTAAACCAAAGTAGACGTGTAAAGGTAGAATGAAATAAGTAGATATGTAATATAACATAAAATTTAATGTCACTTAAGAAGACATAAACAATTAATTAATTTATTTTGTTTGAACTTTTAAAGGACTAATATAATAAAGTGGAATGCATAAGAGTCTTTTGTTAACTAGTAGTTATTAAGATGATTGGTGTAGTTCCACAAGATTAAGTTCTCATCAATATCATTCCCGTCATTGGAAGATAGTGAGAGGGAAGTTGATAATTCATCTTAGTTGAATTAGTGCGTACACCATTGAAGTTTGTGGGCGTATGTAAACAATTATTGTTGTTGTTGTTGCCAGACTCATGTTCTACTTAGTTAACATTGGTGATGACAACAACAACATGTGTTTGTCCACCTTCTTCAATTTCTCAACTTTTCTACTGATGTAGACTACCATGTGGAACGTTGTTTTCCTAAAAAGAGTAGCATTAAAAAAATAACACTGCCAAAGGTAATCTTTCCACCAACAACGCCTCAATACACATATAATTTAGGACTTGACAAGTATACGGTAAAAGAGGAACATGGTGGAAAAGATATGAAATGCGAAGGAGAACATGGAAAATTTGGATATATATATATATATATATATATATATATATATATATATATATATATATATATATATATATATGTTCCAAATAAAGATGTCATATGTATGGGTCCTTCGATGGATAATAATGGGTCACATGATACTGGATCAAGAATGGTAACGTTAGAGATAAGACCGAAACCCCCGAAACAATTATGTTATGTTGGAGTTCTTGATCGTATTTTATTATATTCACTACAATATCTTCTCTTATTGGGATCTCAAGCCCTACCCACTCTATGAAGTTTTGTGTGTCTTCCTCGATAACAGTGCATGTTTTGGGCTTGTTCTTAGAGCCCAAGGGTCTACCCATTTGTTTTTTAGAGAAGGATTTTCTGAGGTCCTCCAATGGATCTTGATGATGATCCACATACCTACCAGAGGGTGGTTGTGCAGATGACGACATTGTCTTCACCAATGTGTCACTATTGTTATTGTTGGTGGCAGTGTAAGAGACCATAAACTCGATGTTGCCTCCACCTTGGAAAAAGAGTTATCTGAGTGTATAGAAAATATACTTGGATTGTTTTCTGAGGAATCATTGGTAGAGTTTGGGGGTTTGGAGTTTGAGGGAAAAAATGAGCAAGCAAATTTTGTGCGCCATTATTAGGAAAATGTTTTTTATAATGCAGAGAATAACTATGTGGTAGGGTATTTATTTATAGTTGTTTCGAATGTGAGAGATTTGGTTCTTATCCATTGGATTATGGTTTTTCATCTACATTATTATTAGATATGGATTGTAGCCTCCCTTCTAGATTATCTATTTAGTAGAAAATTTAGTTGTTTAAGGAGAGAAACATACGTCTACACTCTACAAGATATATAATTAAGGGTTAAATAACTTCTTAATCCTTATAATATTTTAAAATTAATTTTCCGTTATATATGTTTTTTAGGAAATTTTTCTTTTTTGCCACTGATTTTATTCCTTGGTTTTGTAACTCTTTTCTACCGACAGCAAAATGCAGAAACTTTTTAAGATAAAGAAAAACATTTAGGAAAATAAAACCTACATTTTTTTTAAGAGACATAAAATGTAATTTATTATATTTATAAGACCAAAAAATATTAAATCTTATACTTTATATCATAATTAAATGAGGAGAGAGAAAAAAAATTATATTATAGAGATTATATATATAATTTTTATATCAAAGTCTTTGTTTAAAAACAAAATTACTCATTTTTAAGTCTTATTGAATTGAACTTAAAATAAAAATGTATAATATTTTCCTAAATTTATTTATTTGTTGACTAAATAGATTTCATAATTGTTTTTAAATAATAATAAATTTAGATTTTCTTATTTGAACATGCTAAACCAAAGTAGACGTGTAATGGTAGAATGAAATAAGTAGATATGTAATATAACATAAAATTTAATGTCACTTAAGAAGACATAAACAATTAATTAATTTATTTTGTTTGAACTTTTAAAGGACTAATACAATAAAGTGGAATGCATAAGAGTCTTTGGTTATCTAATAGTTATTAAGATGATTGGTGTAGTTCCATAAGATTAAGTTCTCATCAATATCATTCCCATCATTGGAAGATAGTGAGAGGGAAGTTGATAATTCATCTTAGTTGAATTAGCGTGTACACCATTGAAGTTTGTGGGCGTATGTAAACAATTATTGTTGTTGTTGTTTCCATACTCATGTTCAACTTAGTTAACATTGGTGATGACAACAATAACATGTGTTTGTCCACCTTCTTCAATTTCTCAAACTTTTCTACTGATGTAGACTACCATGTGGAACGTTGTTTTCCTAGAAAGAGTGGCATTAAAAAAATAACACTACCAAAGGTAATCTTTCCACCAACAACGCCTCAATACACATATACTTTAGGACTAGACAAGTATACAGTAAAAGAGGAACATGGTGGACAAGATATGAAATGTGGAGGAGAACATGGAAAATTTGGATATATATATATATATATATATATATATATATATATATATATATATATATATATATATATATATATATATATATGTTCCAAATAAAGATGTCATATGTATGGGTCCTTCAATGGATAATAATGGGTCACATGATACTGGATCAAGAATGGTAACGTCAGAGATAAGACCGAAACCCCCGAAACATTATGTTATGTAGGAGTTGTTGATCGTATTTTATTGTATTCACTACAATATCTTCTCTTATTGGGATCTCAAGCCCTACCCACTCTATGAAGTTTTGTGTGTCTTCCTCGATAATAGTGCATGTTTTGGGCTTGTTCTTAGAGCCCAAGGGTCTACCCATTTGTTTTTTAGAGAAGGGTTTTCTGAGGTCCTCCAATGGATCTTGATGATGATCCACATACCTATCTGATGGTGGTTGTGCAGATGACGACATTGGCTTCACCAATGTGTCACTATTGTTACTGTTGGTGGCAGTGTAAGAGACCATAAACTCGTTGTTGCATCCACCTTAGAAAAAGAGTTATCTGAGCGTATAGAAAATATACTAGGATTGTTTTCGGAGGAATCATTGGTAGAGTTTGGGGGTTTGGAGTTTGAGGGAAAAAATGAGCAAGCAAATTTTGTGCGCCATTATTAGGGATATGTTTTTATAATGCAGAGAATAATAATGTGGTAGGGTATTTATTTATAGTTGTTTCGAATGTGAGAGATTTGGTTCTTATCCATTGGATTTTGGTTTTTCATCTAGAGTATTATTAGATATGGATTGTAGCCTCCCTTCTAGATTATCTATTCAGTAGAAAATTTAGTTGTTTAAGGAGAGAAACATACGTCTACACTCTACAACATATATAATTAAGGGTTAAATAACTTCTTAATCCTGATAATATTTTAAAATTAATTTTCCGTTATATAACTTTTTTAAGGAAATTTTCCTTTTTTGCCTCTGATTTTATTCCTTGGTTTTGTAACTCTTTTCTACCGATGGCAAAATGCAGAATCTTTTTAAGATAATGAAAAACATTGGGGAAAATAAAACCTACATTTATTTTTAAAGAGACTTATAATGTAATTTATTATATTTATAAGACCAAAAAAATATTAAATCTTATACTTTATATCATAATTAAATGAGGAGAGAGAAAAAAAATTATATTATAGAAATTATATATATAATTTTTATACCAAAGTCTTTGTTTAAAAACAAAATTACTCATTTTTATGTCTTATTGAATTGAATTTAAAATAAAAATGTATAATATTTGCCTAAATTTATTTATTTGTTGACTAAATAGATTTCATAATTGTTTTTAAATAATAATAAATTTAGATTTTCTTGTTTGAACATGCTAAACCAAAGTAGACGTGTAATGGTAGAATGAAATAAGTAGATATGTAATATAACATAAAATTTAATGTCACTGAAGAAGACATAAAAAATTAATTAATTTATTTTGTTTGAACTATTAAAGGACTAATACAATAAAGTTGAATGCATAAGAGTATTTGGTTATCTAGTAGTTATTAATATGATTTGTGTAGTTCCACAAGATTAAGTTCTCATCAATATCATTCCCATCATTGGAAGATAGTGAGAGGGAAGATGATAATTCATCTTAGTTGAATTAGCGTGTACACCATTGAAGTTTGTGGGCGTATGTAAACAATTATTGTTGTTGTTGTTTCCAGACTCATGTTCTACTTAGTTAACATTGGTGATGACAACAATAACATATGTTTGTCCACCTTCTTCAATTTCTCAAACTTTTCTACTGATGTAGACTACCATGTGGAACGTTGTTTTCCTAGAAAGAGTGGCATTAAAAAAATAACACTACCAAAGGTAATCTTTCCACCAACAACGCCTCAATACACATATACTTTAGGACTAGACAAGTATACGGTAAAAGAGGAACATGGTGGACAAGATATGAAATGTGAAGGAGAACATGGAAAAGTTGGATATATATAGATATGTTCCAAATAAAGATGTCATATGTATGGGTCTTTCGATGGATAATAATGGGTCACATGATACTAGATCAAGAATGGTAACGTTAGAGATAAGACCGAAACCCCAGAAACAATTATGTTATGTTGAAGTTGTTGATCGTGTTTTATTATATTCACTACAATATCTTCTCTTATTGGGATCTCAAGCCCTACCCACTCTATGAAGTTTTGTGTGTCTTCCTCGATAACAATGCATGCTTTGGGCTTGTTCTTAGAGCCCAAGGGTCTACCCATTTGTTTTTTAGAGAAGGATTTTCTGAGGTCCTCCAATGGATCTTGATGATGATCCACATACCTACCAGAGGGTGGTTGTGAAGATGACGACATTGGCTTCACCAATGTGTCACTATTGTTACTGTTGGTGGAGGTTTAAGAGACCATAAACTCGTTGTTGCCTCCACCTTGGAAAAAGAGTTATTTGAGTGTATAGAAAATATACTAGGATTGTTTTCTGAGGAATCATTGGTAGAGTTTGGGGGTTTGGAGTTTAAGGGAAAAAATGAGCAAGCAAATTTTGTGCGCCATTATTAGGGATATGTTTTTTATAATGCAGAGAATAATAATGTGGTAGGGTATATATTTATAGTTGTTTCAAATGTGAGAGATTTGGTTCTTATCCTTTGGATAATGGTTTTTCATCTACATTATTATTAGATATGGATTGTAGCCTTCCTTCTGGATTATCTATTCAGTAGAAAATTAAATTGTTTAAGGAGAGAAACATACGTGTACACTCTACAAGATATATAATTAAGGGTTAAATAACTTCTTAATCCTTATAATATTTTAAAATTAATTTTCCGTTATATAAGTTTTTTAGGAAATTTTTCTTTTTTGCCACTGATTTTATTCCTTGGTTTTGTAACTCTTTTCTACCGATAGCAAAATGCATAAACTTTTTAAGATAAAGAAAAACATTGGGCAAAATAAAACTTACATTTATTTTTAAAGAGACTTAAAATGTAATTTATTTTATTTATAAGACCAAAAAAATATTAAATCTTATACTTTATATCATAATTAAATGAGGAGAGAGAAAAAAATTATATTATAGAGATTATATATATAATTTTTATATCAAAGTCTTTGTTTAAAAACAAAATTACTCATTTTTAAGTCTTATTGAATTGAATTTAAAATAAAAATGTATAATATTTGCCTAAATTTATTTATTTGTTGACTAAATAGATTTCATAATTGTTTTTAAATAATAATAAATTTAGATTTTCTTGTTTGAACATGCTAAACCAAAGTAGACGTGTAAAGGTAGAATGAAATAAGTAGATATGTAATATAACATAAAATTTAATGTCACTTAAGAAGACATAAACAATTAATTAGTTTATTTTGTTTGAACTTTTAAAGGACTAATATAATAAAGTGGAATGCATAAGAGTCTTTGGTTATCTAGTAGTTATTAAGATGATTGGTGTAGTTCCACAAGATTAAGTTCTCATCAATATCATTCCCATCATTGGAAGATAGTGAGAGGGAAGTTGATAATTCATCTTAGTTGAATTAGTGCGTACACCATTGAAGTTTGTGGGCGTATGTAAACAATTATTGTTGTTGTTGTTGCCAGACTCATGTTCTACTTAGTTAACATTGGTGATGACAACAACAACATGTGTTTGTCCACCTTCTTCAATTTCTCAACTTTTCTACTGATGTAGACTACCATGTGGAACGTTGTTTTCCTAAAAAGAGTGGTATTAAAAAAATAACACTGCCAAAGGTAATCTTTCCACCAACAACGCCTCAATACACATATACTTTAGGACTAGACAAGTATACGGTAAAAGAGGAACATGGTGGACAAGATATGAAATGTGAAGGAGAACATGGAAAATTTGGATATATATAGATATGTTCCAAATAAAGATGTCATATGTATGGGTCCTTCGATGGATAATAATGGGTCACATGATACTAGATCAATAATGGTAACGTTAGAGATAAGACCGAAACCCCAGAAACAATTATGTTATGTTGAAGTTGTTGATCGTGTTTTATTATATTCACTACAATATCTTCTCTTATTGGGATATCAAGCCCTACCCACTCTATGATGTTTTGTGTGTCTTCCTCGATAACAATGCATGTTTTGGGCTTGTTCTTAGAGCCCAAGGGTCTACCCATTTGTTTTTTAGAGAAGGATTTTCTGAGGTCCTCCAATGGATCTTGATGATGATCCACATACCTACCAGAGGGTGGTTGTGAAGATGACGACATTGGCTTCACCAATTTGTCACTATTGTTACTGTTGGTAGAGGTGTAAGAGACCATAAACTCGTTGTTGCCTCCACCTTGGAAAAAGAGTTATTTGAGTGTATAGAAAATATACTAGGATTGTTTTCTGAGGAATCATTGGTAGAGTTTGGGGGTTTGGAGTTTGAGGGAAAAAATGAGCAAGCAAATTTTGTGCGCCATTATTAGGGATATGTTTTTTATAATGTAGAGAATAATGATGTGGTAGGGTATATATTTATAGTTGTTTCAAATGTGAGAGATTTGGTTCTTATCCTTTGGATAATGGTTTTTCATCTAGATTATTATTAGTTATGGATTGTAGCCTTCCTTCTGGATTATCAGTTCAGTAGAAAATTAAGTTGTTTAAGGAGAGAAACATACGTGTACACTCTACAAGATATATAATTAAGGGTTAAATAACTTCTTAATCCTTATAATATTTTAAAATTAATTTTCCGTTATATAAGTTTTTTAGGAAATTTTTCTTTTTTGCCACTGATTTTATTCCTTGGTTTTGTAACTCTTTTCTACCGATAGCAAAATGCATAAACTTTTTAAGATAAAGAAAAACATTGGGCAAAATAAAACTTACATTTATTTTTAAAGAGACTTAAAATGTAATTTATTTTATTTATAAGACCAAAAAAATATTAAATCTTATACTTTATATCATAATTAAATGAGGAGAGAGAAAAAAATTATATTATAGAGATTATATATATAATTTTTATATCAAAGTCTTTGTTTAAAAACAAAATTACTCATTTTTAAGTCTTATTGAATTGAATTTAAAATAAAAATGTATAATATTTGCCTAAATTTATTTATTTGTTGACTAAATAGATTTCATAATTGTTTTTAAATAATAATAAATTTAGATTTTCTTGTTTGAACATGCTAAACCAAAGTAGACGTGTAAAGGTAGAATGAAATAAGTAGATATGTAATATAACATAAAATTTAATGTCACTTAAGAAGACATAAACAATTAATTAGTTTATTTTGTTTGAACTTTTAAAGGACTAATATAATAAAGTGGAATGCATAAGAGTCTTTGGTTATCTAGTAGTTATTAAGATGATTGGTGTAGTTCCACAAGATTAAGTTCTCATCAATATCATTCCCATCATTGGAAGATAGTGAGAGGGAAGTTGATAATTCATCTTAGTTGAATTAGTGCGTACACCATTGAAGTTTGTGGGCGTATGTAAACAATTATTGTTGTTGTTGTTGCCAGACTCATGTTCTACTTAGTTAACATTGGTGATGACAACAACAACATGTGTTTGTCCACCTTCTTCAATTTCTCAACTTTTCTACTGATGTAGACTACCATGTGGAACGTTGTTTTCCTAAAAAGAGTGGTATTAAAAAAATAACACTGCGAAAGGTAATCTTTCCACCAACAACGCCTCAATACACATATACTTTAGGACTAGACAAGTATACGGTAAAAGAGGAACATGGTGGACAAGATATGAAATGTGAAGGAGAACATGGAAAATTTGGATATATATAGATATGTTCCAAATAAAGATGTCATATGTATGGGTCCTTCGATGGATAATAATGGGTCACATGATACTAGATCAAGAATGATAACGTTAGAGATAAGACCGAAACCCCAGAAACAATTATGTTATGTTGAAGTTGTTGATCGTGTTTTATTATATTCACTACAATATCTTCTCTTATTGGGATCTCAAGCCCTACCCACTCTATGATGTTTTGTGTGTCTTCCTCGATAACAATGCATGTTTTGGGCTTGTTCTTAGAGCCCAAGGGTCTACCCATTTGTTTTTTAGAGAAGGATTTTCTGAGGTCCTCCAATGGATCTTGATGATGATCCACATACCTACCAGAGGGTGGTTGTGAAGATGACGACATTGGCTTCACCAATTTGTCACTATTGTTACTGTTAGTGGAGGTGTAAGAGACCATAAACTCGTTGTTGCCTCCACCTTGGAAAAAGAGTTATTTGAGTGTATAGAAAATATACTAGGATTGTTTTCTGAGGAATCATTGGTAGAGTTTGGGGGTTTGGAGTTTGAGGGAAAAAATGAGCAAGCAAATTTTGTGCGCCATTATTAGGGATATGTTTTTTATAATGTAGAGAATAATGATGTGGTAGGGTATATATTTATAGTTGTTTCAAATGTGAGAGATTTGGTTCTTATCCTTTGGATAATGGTTTTTCATCTAGATTATTATTAGATATGGATTGTAGCCTTCCTTCTGGATTATCAGTTCAGTAGAAAATTAAGTTGTTTAAGGAGAGAAACATACGTGTACACTCTACAAGATATATAATTAAGGGTTAAATAACTTCTTAATCCTTATAATATTTTAAAATTAATTTTCCGTTATATAAGTTTTTTAGGAAATTTTTCTTTTTTGCCACTGATTTTATTCCTTGGTTTTGTAACTCTTTTCTACCGATAGCAAAATGCATAAACTTTTTAAGATAAAGAAAAACATTGGGCAAAATAAAACTTACATTTATTTTTAAAGAGACTTAAAATGTAATTTATTTTATTTATAAGACCAAAAAAATATTAAATCTTATACTTTATATCATAATTAAATGAGGAGAGAGAAAAAAATTATATTATAGAGATTATATATATAATTTTTATATCAAAGTCTTTGTTTAAAAACAAAATTACTCATTTTTAAGTCTTATTGAATTGAATTTAAAATAAAAATGTATAATATTTGCCTAAATTTATTTATTTGTTGACTAAATAGATTTCATAATTGTTTTTAAATAATAATAAATTTAGATTTTCTTGTTTGAACATGCTAAACCAAAGTAGACGTGTAAAGGTAGAATGAAATAAGTAGATATGTAATATAACATAAAATTTAATGTCACTTAAGAAGACATAAACAATTAATTAGTTTATTTTGTTTGAACTTTTAAAGGACTAATATAATAAAGTGGAATGCATAAGAGTCTTTGGTTATCTAGTAGTTATTAAGATGATTGGTGTAGTTCCACAAGATTAAGTTCTCATCAATATCATTCCCATCATTGGAAGATAGTGAGAGGGAAGTTGATAATTCATCTTAGTTGAATTAGTGCGTACACCATTGAAGTTTGTGGGCGTATGTAAACAATTATTGTTGTTGTTGTTGCCAGACTCATGTTCTACTTAGTTAACATTGGTGATGACAACAACAACATGTGTTTGTCCACCTTCTTCAATTTCTCAACTTTTCTACTGATGTAGACTACCATGTGGAACGTTGTTTTCCTAAAAAGATTGGTATTAAAAAAATAACACTGCCAAAGGTAATCTTTCCACCAACAACGCCTCAATACACATATACTTTAGGACTAGACAAGTATACGGTAAAAGAGGAACATGGTGGACAAGATATGAAATGTGAAGGAGAACATGGAAAATTTGGATATATATAGATATGTTCCAAATAAAGATGTCATATGTATGGGTCCTTCGATGGATAATAATGGGTCACATGATACTAGATCAAGAATGGTAACGTTAGAGATAAGACCGAAACCCCAGAAACAATTATGTTATGTTGAAGTTGTTGATCGTGTTTTATTATATTCACTACAATATCTTCTCTTATTGGGATCTCAAGCCCTACCCACTCTATGATGTTTTGTGTGTCTTCCTCGATAACAATGCATGTTTTGGGCTTGTTCTTAGAGCCCAAGGGTCTACCCATTTGTTTTTTAGAGAAGGATTTTCTGAGGTCCTCCAATGGATCTTGATGATGATCCACATACCTACCAGAGGGTGGTTGTGAAGATGACGACATTGGCTTCACCAATTTGTCACTATTGTTACTGTTGGTGGAGGTGTAAGAGACCATAAACTCGTTGTTGCCTCCACCTTGGAAAAAGAGTTATTTGAGTGTATAGAAAATATACTAGGATTGTTTTCTGAGGAATCATTGGTAGAGTTTGGGGGTTTGGAGTTTGAGGGAAAAAATGAGCAAGCAAATTTTGTGCGCCATTATTAGGGATATGTTTTTTATAATGTAGAGAATAATGATGTGGTAGGGTATATATTTATAGTTGTTTCAAATGTGAGAGATTTGGTTCTTATCCTTTGGATAATGGTTTTTCATCTAGATTATTATTAGATATGGATTGTAGCCTTCCTTCTGGATTATCAGTTCAGTAGAAAATTAAGTTGTTTAAGGAGAGAAACATACGTGTACACTCTACAAGATATATAATTAAGGGTTAAATAACTTCTTAATCCTTATAATATTTTAAAATTAATTTTCCGTTATATAAGTTTTTTAGGAAATTTTTCTTTTTTGCCACTGATTTTATTCCTTGGTTTTGTAACTCTTTTCTACCGATAGCAAAATGCATAAACTTTTTAAGATAAAGAAAAACATTGGGCAAAATAAAACTTACATTTATTTTTAAAGAGACTTATAATGTAATTTATTTTATTTATAAGACCAAAAAAATATTAAATCTTATACTTTATATCATAATTAAATGAGGAGAGAGAAAAAAATTATATTATAGAGATTATATATATAATTTTTATATCAAAGTCTTTGTTTAAAAACAAAATTACTCATTTTTAAGTCTTATTGAATTGAATTTAAAATAAAAATGTATAATATTTTCCTAAATTTATTTATTTGTTGACTAAATAGATTTCATAATTGTTTTTAAATAATAATAAATTTAGATTTTCTTGTTTGAACATGCTAAACCAAAGTAGACGTGTAAAGGTAGAATGAAATAAGTAGATATGTAATATAACATAAAATTTAATGTCACTTAAGAAGACATAAACAATTAATTAGTTTATTTTGTTTGAACTTTTAAAGGAATAATATAATAAAGTGGAATGCATAAGAGTCTTTGGTTATCTAGTAGTTATTAAGATGATTGGTGTAGTTCCACAAGATTAAGTTCTCATCAATATCATTCCCATCATTGGAAGATAGTGAGAGGGAAGTTGATAATTCATCTTAGTTGAATTAGTGCGTACACCATTGAAGTTTGTGGGCGTATGTAAACAATTATTGTTGTT